CACCTTGTCCAGTCAGAGAACGCCTGGCTAGTCGCCAGTGTGGCCTGTGGTCTCCCTGCAGCTAATCTTTTGCTTCTTCATTTCCAAGATGAATATTATAGAAGCAGCAGGAGCGGTGGACAAAGCGCCATAGAAAGTAGAAAAAGCAGGGAGATACTTGCACTTCAGGTTTTCGGGTACAGCTTCCTCTTCAGAAGGGAGAACAGTAAGCAGCACAGTAATCACAACACCAAATCTGGTGAGCCTATCAGTCAGAGGCAGCAGGGTCTTATATCATCTCGCACTGCAGATATACAGCTATGAGGCTATAGGAGTGCCTAGGGACAGGACATGTGCTGATATTTTTTGAGGTATTCGGGAGAAAACATACATTTTTCAGGGTGCTGCTTAGGCCCAGTAAACATACCTGCAATTCAGCTGTAAGCTGATCACAACCACAATAAAACAAAAAAACACCAGACTGAACATTGCCAGTAACCACTTCCCTTCTGGCCCATGTACATAAACGGCCAGATGGGAGCAATTCAGGGGCGGGTGGCCATTTATAAACGTCCTCCCGCTTCCCTGCCTGTGTGCGCTCCCTGGGAGCATGCAGCACTGCGATTCGGTGTCCGCTGTGTCCTGAAGACACAGTGGAACGCCGATCGTTGTACGGGACCTCTGTGTGTGTGAGGTCCCTCCCGATCATGTGATCACTGATTAACCAATCAGTTATCACATGAATAGTAGTAAGCAAGATGTCACTTCCTGACATCATTGCTTACTACGTGTGAAATCTGTGAATGATCACAGAGGTCACATGGTACAAGGCTATTCACAACAGCCTTGTACCATGTGACAAGCTGTGACCAATCACAGCTCACACAGTATTTCTCAATGGCTGCAGGAATGCAGCCAGAGAGAAGGGGTAATGATTGCTTTTACAGCCTTTATGGGTATAAAAGCAATTAGAGTAAGAAAAAAAAAAATCTTCATCACCCCCCACAAGTAGTACAGTGTCACTATGGTGACACTGTATTGCTAGGGTGACAGTATGTTAAGAAAAAAAAAAACATAACTAATAATATAAAAAAAAAAATAAATATGTAAAAAAATGTTTTGAAAACTTATAATTTTTGGTTATAAACTAATTTGGGTTATTTTATTTTTTTTACTAAAAAATAGCTGAATACAATTTGGCCAAGATTTATGAAGAAAGATTATTTATTTGCAAAATGTTATAAGAAAAACACTTTTTTTTTCAAAGTGTTTGGACTTTTTCATTTATATAGCAACAAAATAAAAATCCCAGTGGTGAATAAATACCACCAAAATAAAGTTTTATCTGTCTCAAAAAAAAAATGCTAAAAAATTCATATGGGTACAGTGTTGCATGACCGCGCAATTGTCATTCAAAGTGTGATAGCACCGAAAGCTGAAAATTGGCCTGGACAGGAAGGGGTAAAAGTGTCCGGACTTGAAGTGGTTAAGGAATTTGAGACCTTCGAATCTGGGTACATATGTTTCATGCATGTGGTGTCTTTGACCAGAAGACAAAACGTTTTGTCAGATGGATTGAGGTTTTGGCCAAAAAAAGTGTCCTTCTGCAGTGTAATTATGTGGTGTCCATGGATATTAATTAGCATTGTCACCGGCGATAATATTACACAGAACGGGCGCCAAGTGAGCCGGTGGGATTTGGAACAGGCTTTAGAAGTGGCAATCTGCTCTGCGCATTCTCAGGCCACCATTGTTATGCCGTTTGAAAGTTGTTTTGTATGCAGATAATCACAAGACATGTCCCGCGTTACGGTTCAGACAATATTGATACACGTTGTGTGTGGTTCTCTGTGTGCGCAGACAATTCCAGGATCAAGGCCTGCCGTGGCTGCTGTTAGCTGGCGTTTGAGTCGCGCTTTTCCTATAAATAATATATGCCGACACTCGTGGGATTTGCTTTTTGGTGTATATATATATGCTTTATCGGTAACACAGACAGCTCTTTTGATGAGAAGCTGAGCCAAGGGGTATGCTTTGGCTGTTGGGGCCGTATAATCCTATGATATACTAGTAACATGTGAGCGCTCTGTTCTAGGTTACACTTAAAGCAGAACTCCGGCCTTCCCTTCCGTCTTGTACGGTTGTACCGGCTCCTTTCCTCAACTGAAATCGCTTACTGTGATTTCACTGCACACTGTAAGGTCCTTACAGCCGATATCAATACCCGCTGTTTTTGGGTAGATATTTGCTCATTTATGGCAAGTCTTTTCAAGAGGTATCAATATTATTTATTTCAGGTACTTATATAGCGCCATCAATTTACACAGTACTTTACATATATATTGTACATTCACATCAGTCCCTAACCCTCAAGGGGTGTACAATCTAAGGTCCCTAACCCTCAAGGGGCGTACAATCTAAGGTCCCTAACCCTCAGGGGGCGTACAATCTAAGGTCCCTAACCCTCAAGGGGTGTACAATCTAAGGTCCCTAACTCACATTCATACATACACATACTAGGGACAATTTAGACAGGAGCCAATTAACCTACCAGCATGTCTTTGGAGTGTGGGGGGAAACCAGAGTACCTGGAGGAAACCCACACAGGCACAGGAAGAACATGCAAACTCCAGGCAGGTGGTGCCGTGGCTGGGATTCGAACCAACGACCCAAGTACTACCAGGTGGAAGTGCTAACCATTTAGCCACTGTGCTGCCCATATATTTTACCCTACGTATTTGTGGTGGGACTTTATAGGCACCATTGTTGTTCTAAGGCAGGGGTGTCAAACTCCATTGCATCGCGGGCTGTATCAGCATTATGGTTGCCCTCAGAGGGCTGGTTTTATCTGTTAGACTAGATGACCAGAGCACCCCCATCCCCCCATTACATCAGATGTCAAGAATCCCACACCCTCCCTAACAGCACCGTGCACCCCGTTTGGGGGCAGAGCTGAAAAGCAGAAAGTGCAGAGTTTCTGGAGGAGGACCAGAGGAGGAGTGGAGTCAGCAGAGTCTTCTGAATGCTGAGACCAGGGGAGGCGGAGAAGAGGAGGTGCTGCGGCTGCACAGAGAGGCTCAGGATTTGTAGGGGGAGTTCTGTCCTCTTCTCTGCTGCCGACTACTGAGACCAGGGGGGGTTGTTTGGGGTAAGAGGCTCATGGCAGGAGAGGTGCGAGGGCCACACGGAATGGCCTGGAGGGACGGATTTGTCCCGTGGGCCTTGTGTTTGATACATGTCCTCTAGGGTCTCTGCTTTCAGAAAATATATGATGCTGTGGGGGTTTTATGCAATCTTCAGAAAGAGATGAGGGGGTGCTGCTGCAGCTGCACTGATAGGTGCAGGATTTGGCAGAGGAGTTCAATTCTCCTCTCTGCTGCCAACTGCTGAGACGAGTTGGAGGCGGAGACAATGGGGTACCTGCAGGAGAGCTGCAAGGGCCACATGAAATGGCCTGGAGGTCTGGATTCGGCCCACAGGCCTTGCGTATGACACCAGTGTTTCTAAGGTATCTGACACAAAATGCATAAAAATATTTGTTGGAATACAATGTTCATGTATTTTGTACAACAACTACATTGGTGTCACTGTTCAGTAGAGATATATTGTTTAACCAGTAGATGGCAGTGTTTTTAGAAGTTTGTAGCTGCATCTGTGGTTAAAATCTGTCTTTTCTCTATAATAAAGTTCCTGTTTCCTGTTAGCAGAGAAACAGCAGATGAATACTGTATATGTGGACTGCGCATTGTCTGTTCTGTAGGGCAATATACAGAATCTCTAACAGTATTCACGATTTATCATCACAAAATGTCAAAATACATAAAATTAGGGCTGGCATATACTAGTCAGTGCTCATGCAAGAGGGTGCAATTACACAGGGCTTGATTTACTAAAGGCAAATAGACTTTGCAAAAGTGCAGTTGCTCCAGAGCTTAGTAAATGAGCAGAAGCTCTGCCGACTTCCATCATCCAATCGTGCAAGCAAAAATGCTGATTTCTTAAAATTTTCTTTGCACCTGACTGGGTATCCTAGCAAAGTGACGCTTTACCTCATTTTCTGTGGAACAACTGCACTGGCGGAGTGCAGCTGAAGTTGTAAAAGTGCCCAGTCTATTTTGCCTTAGTAAATCAACCTCTCTATGTACCACAAACATCCTACATTCCAATGCGTTTCAGTAGATTCTTCCTCGGGGGGGGATAGAGTGAGCATTAGGAGGATAGAGGTTTACAGATTTAGTCTGCCAAATAGTAAAACTGCTGTCCATGCATGCAAGAATGAGACCAGACCAGTGTTTGCGGAGAGCAGATTTCCTCCCCTTTGCTTTGTGAAGTTGGATCTGGTCTTAAAACTCTGTTGTGTCTTATTATTTTAATAATAAATCAAATGTTGTGCTGTAACATTCAAATGTCATCAAATGTACAAAATACATAGTATAACATAAATAATAAACAGATCAAAAAATAAAAATACAATCAGCACTTTGCCTTTAACCCCTCGCCTACCAGGCACTTATACCCCCTTCCTGTCCAGGCCAATTTTCAGCTTTCAGCGCTGTCACACTTTGAATGACAATTGCGCTGTCATGCAACACTGTACCCATATGACATTTTTAGCATTTTTTTGAGACAGATAGAGCTTTATTTTGGTGGTATTTATTCACCGTTGGGGTTTTTTATTTTTTCTTAAACAAACCAAAAACCACTGAAAATTTTGAAAAAAAAATTTTTTTTCTTAGTTTTTGTTATAAAATTTTGTAAGTAGGTGATTTTTCTCTCCTCTGTCACTGATGTGCGCTAATGAGGCTGCGGTGATGGTCACTGATAGGCTGCACTGATGGACACTGATAGGTGGCACTGATGGGCAACTGATGAGGAGGCAGTGGTAGGTGGAACTGATGGTCATTGACAGGCATCACTGATGGGCACTGGCAAGGCGGCAGACTGGCACTGTTAGGCGGCACTGACTGCAGCACTGATAGGCGGCACTGACTGGCACTGTTAGGCGGCACTGACTGGCACTGTTAGGCGGTACTGACTTGCAGCATTGATAGGTGGCACTGATTGGCATTGATAGGTGGCACTGACTGGCACTGATGGGTGACACTGAAAGGCAGCTCAGATGGGCACTGATATGTGGCATTGATGTGCACTGGTAGGCACTGATATGTGGCATTGATGTGGCACTGATGAGCACTGACACAAGGCACTGATGGACACTGACAGGTGGCACTGCTGGGGCTACACTGATCATGATCATCAGTGCCCTGATGATCAGTGTACATGTCCCCTCCGCGGAAAGCCAATTACTGGCTCTCCTCTCCTCTCGAGCTTTCAGCGTGACAGCTCAAGAGGAGAGAAATGCAGATAACCGGCATTTCCTGTTTACATGTGATCAGCTGTGATTGGGCACAGCTGATCATATGACCGAGCCGACATCTTTGGCTCTTTCCGTGATCGGTGATTCACTGTGTCCGAAGGACACAGCACACCGCCGATTGCCGCGCATGCGCGGTGAGAATGGGAAGGCGTCATATGATGTCCTCCCAGAATGAGAGAACCACCTTGCGTCCGTCATATTACTATATGGCGGGAGGGAGGTGGTTAAACAAAACTGCCAAAAGTCCACGGTGCTTTTAAAGTGGTTGTAAACCATAGACATGAAATATGAACAAAGCATATCTCTCTATAGTGTGTACTTGTCTCATATAACAGCACATAGGGGTTGATTTACTAAAGGAAAATAGACTGTGTACTTAAGTGCAGTTGCTCCAGAGGTTAGTAAATGAGGTAAAGCTTTACTTTGCAAGGAATACCCAATCACATGCCAGGAAAATGAAAAAAAAAAAGCATTTTTGCTTGCACATGATTGGATGATGGAAGTCAGCTGGGCTTCCCCTCATTTGCTAAGGTCTGGAGCAACTGCTCTTGCAGAGTGCAAATGCACTTTGCAAAGTGCACAGTCTATTTGCCTTTAGTAAATCAACCCCTAAGTGTCATTTCTGTCTGCTGCTTCCTTCCTCTGTTATCAGCATAAGTCATTTTCTGACATGTTTTCCTGAAACCAAGAGAAAAATGGTGATTGGGAGGGATCTCCAGCAGATTGACAGCCTCTAATCCTGCGGGTTGTGTGGAGGGGGGCGTGTCTCTTCCCTCCATTCAGCTCTTCAGCTCTCAGAGCTCTCCTCACTTAGCTCTTCAGTGTGTAATGTCAGCTCTATGCCCCCTTTTTTCTGAACTATCAAACAAGCTTTATACATTTTGGACATTGAACAGATGTAAGGAAGAGAAGACTGCAGATAAAAATTGACAACTTATGTGGGTGGCTTTGTTTCAACTCTGTGTACCATGTGAGGCTCTTCACTTCACTTGGTATATGTAAGGGTTCACAACCACTTTATTAAAAATCAACTGTGAATCCAATCAAACATATGTGAAGAAAAGTCACCAACTAGTGTAGTCTTGATCCTAATTCTTCCACCACCATTCACAAAAAAAATCTGCCTATTGCCAAACAATTATAGGAGGTCTTATGAGCGCTTGGTATATCCAGGGTTATATCAGCCTCCCTGTGGTCTTACAACCCTGCTTGGATCCAATATGCAAGCAGACGGATGGGAAGCACAGAGTTCACCAACAGGGAAAATGGCTCAGCACCAACAAGAAAAGATCTCAAATCCTTCATAGTGTAAAACAACCAATGTAATTTACTATACTAAAGGAAAGTACTCACAAGATCACAAAGCACAAACACACCACTGGCTGGTCAGGCGGCGTGATGACGTCAGCTTAAGCCCAACCCAGCATGTTTCGTCTATAAAGACATTCTTAAGGAGACATTATCCTGGAAAACCCTTCTTAAAAGAAGTCCTCCGATGGCCCATTGTGCGGGTGATTGCGGGTGATTCCTTCACCAACTCTAATATTACAACAATTACTAGGAATTGTGTGTGTCTTGATGGCCCTTCTATGATATCTGAATGTAAAACATGAAAGTTTTGCATTTAAAGGGAACCTGTGATTATAGTCCATCTCTGGGCATACATTCTACCCTGTTCCCGCCCATTCACTCATTGAAAAAAAAAAAACAGTGTTTGTAACTTACTGAATCCGGCACCATGTGATCCTCTACAGTTCCTCTTCTGTAAATGACGACCAGTGGTCCAGCACTGGACTCCCAAGCTCATAGCCAAATGGTCTTATTGCTGCCCCTCTTCGTGATATCACTATGCCACTGTACAGTTCAGGATCCTGCCATTGGACAGCCAACAGGATGTGTCCACTTCACCCAGGAGCACCTGAAGAAGGACCCTCTTACTCGTAACTCAACAATTAAAGCTTTACACATGCCTGTGGCCTCCTGATGGGTGTCAGTTGACCACATGGAGAATAAAGCAGCAGTTTTACTATTTGGCTGACTAAATCTGCAAACCTGTATCCTCGTTATGCTCACTCTATCCCTCTGAGGAAGAATGTATTGAAATGCGTTGGGTTATCTACAAGGATGACACCACGTGTTTTGCAAGATCCGAATCACACACCTACTGAGCGACATATCTGACTGGATGTCACTTCCTTAAACTGAACCTCTCCAAGGCCGAGTTCTTGTCTTCCCCCCAGCCCAGACCCCACCCCCCATTGACTTCTCCATCACATCCAACAACGCCACCATCAAACCCGCCCCGCAGGCCAGAGTACTTGGTGTCATTCTGGACTCCAACCTATCCTTCCAGCCCCAAGTCCAATCTTTAACAAACTCGTGCAGACTCCACCTCCGCAACGTCGCCAAAATCCACACGTTCCTAAACAGCTCATCCACTCCTCATCATATCACGACTCAACTACTGCAACTCCCTCCTCACTGGCCTGCCTCGCCGCTGGCTATCGCCGCTTCAGTCGATCCTGAATACGACTGCCAGACTCATTCACCTTTCAACCGCTCTGTTTCCACCACCCCCCTCTGCCAATCCCTCCACTGGCTTCCGATTGCGCAACGGATCAAATTCAAAATCCTAACACTGACGTACAAAGCCGTCCACCATACTGCCCCGAACTACATCACCGACCCAATATCCAAGTACCACCCAACACGCACACTCCGCTCCTCACAAGACCTCCTTCTCTCTAGTTCCCTGGTCTCCTCCTCCCATGCCCGCCTCCAGGACTTCTCCAGGGTGTCACCCATCCTCTGGAACTCCCTGCCCCAACCCATCAGATTATCACCTACTCTCCTCTCCTTTAGGCGCACCCTGAAAACCCATCTCTTCAGGGAAGCCTACCCCACCCCCTGCTAACTTGCCGACCTCCTCCACTCTTCCACCACCTCATCCCCCACAGCTATCTCCTCCTGTGCCACCATCCCTCCCTCCTAGATTGTAAGCTCCAAGGAGCAGGGCCCTCGATCCCCTCATGTTTTACATTGTATTGGTATTGTTCTGTCACATGTTCTGTCCCCCTTTGTAATGTACAGCGCTGAGCGAACTATTGGCGCTTTATAAATACTGTATAATAATAATAATAATCTGTTAGCACATAGGACCACATGCAGCCTCTTGCATGAGGACTGACTAGTATATGTCAGCCCTAATTTTATGAAATTTTATGAAATTTTGTAACAATAAAATGTGAATACTTTTACGTATTTTGTGTCGGATATCTTAGTACAAAATATAAAGTCCCGCCACAAACATGTAGTGTAAAATATTGATGTCCTTCAGAGATGTTGGCACAAACATCTCCAGATTTCCTTGTTACTTTTCAAGAGGTATTCATTATCTAGCTGCCGTTTCTTAAAGTACCAAATATAATGGCAGGTCGAGGTACTCTATTTTTAGTTGTCTTCAGAGGTCGAGCACAGTCACTATGAAAGTCACATTTTCCTGCATATTTCGAACGCCCGGATGTGAGCATATGTAGTGTTTTTCTGCTGAGATAATTGGATTATGGCTCAGGAATCTCTAGAACAATGGTGCCAGGTGGTCACATGGCATTGTGGCTGTTAGTATTGGTGTTTCAAAGCTGGATGACAGCTGGAGCTTGGTTCTCGAAGGTTATTCCATATAACACTTCATAATCTGAGTTAATGAATGCATGTGTGCCATTTATTTGGATTATTAACAACCCTGCAAGTCCACGTTTATTGGGAAGAGCTGCAAGGAATACAGTTACAATTGCTTGGCCTTGACATTGATTGCTACTTTTGCTACACTCAAAGACCTGAGGATTTCATATACAGTGAGGAATAGAAGTATTTGAACCCCCTGCGATTTTGCAAGTTCTCCCACTTAGAAATCATGGAGGGGTCTGAAATTCACATTTTAGGTGCATTCCCACTCTGAGAGACAGAATTTAAAAAAAATTCAAGAAATCACATTGTATGATTTGTAAAGAATGTATTTGTCTTGCACTGCTGAACAGAAGTATTTGAACACCTGAGAAAATCAGTGTTAATATTTGGTACAGAAGCCTTTGTTTGCAATTACAGAGGTCAGACGTTTCCTGTAGTTCTTGACCAGGTTTGCACTGCAACAGGGATTTTGGCCGACTCCTCCACACAGATCTCCTCTAGATCTGTTAGGTTTCGGGGCTGTCGCTGAGCAACACGGAGTTTCAGCTCCCTCCAAAGATGTTCTATTGGATTTAGGTCTAGAGACTGGCTAGGCCACTCCAGAACCTTGATATGCTTCTTACGGAGCCACTCCTTGGTTCTCCTGGCTGTGTGCTTCAGGTCGTTGTCATGTTGGAAGACCCAGCCACGACCCATCTTCAATGCTCTGACTGAGGGAAGGAGGTTGTGGCTCAAAATCTCAAAATAAATGGCCCCATTCATCCTCTCCTTAATACAGTGCAGTCGTCCTGTCCCCTTCGCAGAAAAGCACCCCCAAAGCATGATGTTACCACCCCCATGCTTCACAGTAGGGATGGTGTTCTTGGGATGCAACTCATCCTTCTTTTTCCTCCACGAGTGAAGTTTAGACCAAAAAGTTCTACTTTGGTCTCATCTGACCACATGACTTTCTCCCATGCCTCCTCTGGATCATCCAGATGGTCATTGGCAAACTTCAGACGGGCCTGGACATGTGATGACTTGAGCAGGGGAACCTTCCGTGCAATGCATGATTTGAAACCATGACGGTGTAGTGTTCTACCGACAGTGACCTTTGAAACTGTGATCCCAGCTCTCTTCATGTCATTGACCAGCTCCTCCCTTGTAGTTCTGGGCTGATTCCTCACCTTTCTTATCATCAGTGATACCCCACGAGGTGGGATCTTGCATGGAGCCCCAGTCCAATGGAGACTGACAGTTGTTTTTAGCGTCTTCCATTTTCCTAACAATTGCTTGCATTTGTGCAGCCTATGCATTTGAATGGGTTGCTTTACCTGCAGGAAATGCAAGGAAAAAGTCCATGACCCTTAAAAAGGTGGCT